GAAGCTATAGAGGATCTTGTTTTCCACAGATTGATTCTCTCCGTTGGACACAGTGGAAAGGATTGGGTGAGCTATAAGGAAGCACAGAGCACCATGGGATGGACATTCATTTACTGTCTTTTATAGTTTCATTCTTTCCCCTTTCCTTCCCTTTCCTTCTCCTTCCCCTTTCCTTTCCTTCTCCCTTTCCTTTCTCCCTTCCCTCCCCTCCCCTCCCCTCACTTCTGTAATGAGTTAAGATGCAAAACCAGCATGCTGGAGTGGCTGTGAACAGGACTTAGGGTCTATCAGAGCAAGAGGAAGCTGGAGAAAACAATCTCCAAGCATTTGACCCCCACCCCCACCCCCAAGAAGGTCTTTACCTCTATGGTCACTATTCCTGCTTCCTTCTCCATGATGGCTTAAAAATTACATCCCAACAATTCTGGGCATCTTGAGGAAATAGACAGCAAGGATAAAGAAGAAGCAGGGCCATCCTGACACTGGTGATAGCTCTCTCCACTTCTGTCCTTCAGGGAACTCTAGCATCTTAAAGCCTTAGGAGACACTGAGGCTCACCCATTCCCAGAGAAATAATTGGGAATCCTGGTGTTGGGAGACTGGTGGAGAGCAGTTGATTTTCCAAGGCATGTGGCTGAATTGAAAATTGCAAGGTTGTTTATCATGTTTTAAAAATATAGTGATGTTCTCCTTTACTATTTACTATTGAAAAGCAATATTTTATTGATTTATATGTTAACAGTTGGGGTTGAAAATAATGTGTTTTTAGGGATTGCAAAGATCTTTGCATGCTGCTTCTTCCATCTCCATAAAGCTTAAATTTTTTACTTGTTATTTGTTAAATAATATGCCAGTTGATGATATTGATCATACAAAGTTGATGTCTGGTAGTATTTGAAAATTGGAATTAGAAACAGGAATGCTTTTAGAGGAGAAAAAGATACCACATGTGACAAATATGATTTATTTCTTTTTAACTTTTGAGCCTGATTCATTCAACAATTATGTATTGATCACCTACTATATGCCTGGTAAGGCTGTAGGCAGGAGGGATGTGGCAGTGACAAGTAAACAAGGTCCCTGCCCTCACAGAGCTTTCATTCTCATGGGAGAGATGTAATGAATAGGTTAAGTGGTTTAGTGTAACTGGGAAATGAAGTGCTACAAAGAAAATGAAAGCATATCAAACAATATAGTGAAGAGTGGATGGGGGTCTCTTTTGTAAGGAAGGCCTCTCTGAGCAGAGGGTGACTGAGCAGAGATCCTAATGAAGTGCAGGTAAGTCTGGATTAATCTAAATGCAACAGCAGGATAGCAGGGCTTGGAGTAGAGGGGAAGGGAGGGGTATGGCATAATGTAGTTTATGTTTTTAACAGATCATTGTTTGTTGTATGGAAAGTGCTCTGTGGGAGGGAGTGTGGAGAGGGTAAATAGCAGGGAGAGCAGTGTTTTTCTGGTCAGAGGAAAGAGGACTATGTCAGCCCATGTGCTTAGAAGAGCCACCAAGGTGGGATTGAATGTGCCGTGATCCTACTGGGGAAAGGGGTGGCAGAGGGAGGGCAGGGCAGCAAGGGGGGTGGGGGGCCTGTCCTCACTGCCATCTCTGGCGGCCACATGCCGATGATAGAAGCTGAGTAGTAAATGAGAGGTAGTAAGAAATGGTCAGCTTTGGATATATTTTGGAGGGAAAGCTGACTGGACTTTTGTTGACAGGTTATGAGGGAAAGAGAAGAATCAAAATTTACTTTCAGGCTTTTGACCTGATTATTATCCAGCTGAGTGATACTGACATTAATGAGATGGGGGTCTGGGGAGCAGTGTACTGAGGGCTTGCTAATTTTGAGATTGTTATGGACATTCTCAGTGGCTTCTCAGGCTTGTGAATATTATTTACCTTGGGTTCCCCTCTCCCTTCCTACAACAGGATTGGGGAGCTTCTTTAACTTACATGTTACAAGTAGGAGCAAAGATGGAATATTAGGTAGCAAACATGTTAAACAGGGAGGTATTCATTGTCCCTATGTCCCCAGGGCTCTGGCACGGGTGTTGGAGTCTGCTGATGGTAAGGTAACCATTTCATTTACCCTGACAAATGGGATGGGAGCATTTTCTTTGCTGTGCGTTCTTCTGGTTCCATGACATCAAAATGAATCTGAATTCCTAAGTTATTGCTTGAAAATTTAGAGTTGTTTTAGGAAATTAAGGGAAAAAGTACATTTGGGATGAAATGGAAGAGTCTGGGCTTTAGAAATTTTCTTAGGGATAATGTGAATGCAGTCAAGATACTCTAAGCTGGAGAATGGATATGAAGAAGTTTCTGTTTAAGAAAGATCACTGTGGTGGTGTAGAGAAAGTCAGAGAGTAAGGGTGCGGAGTAAGGAAAGCGGCCATGAGGGCCCAATCCAGGATGGGAAAGGAGGGGTGGCGTATGCAGGACAGCTCCACAGGCGATTTCGGAGTTGGGTGGATGACTTGAGAGCCACGAAATAGAAGGGAAAATGAATGACTAGTTTCTTTGTAGGGGGTCAACATATAGTAAGTGCTGATGGAAAAAACTGGGCATAGATTCAGATACCAGGTTTCCCATGTATTTGCTTGGACATGTTACTTAATTTCTATCCCCATATGTCAAATGGGGACAAAGAATCCTGCTTTTAAGCATTTTGCTGGACAGGTGGTGACACTGTTCACTGAGTAGAATTAAAAATACAGAAGAAAGGGCAAATGTGGGGGCAAAGATAGTGGGAACCTGGGAATATGAGATTCTGAGATAATGAACACTTATTACACAAACATGGTATTATTCACTTTATGTCAATCTTATTTAGTCTTTGCAACAATCATATGAGGTTGAGGTAGTATTATTGCCATTATTTTACATGGTGACATATCAAGGCTTAGAGGGATCAAATAACTTGACTAAGATCACATAGAAGAGTAGGAACTTGAATCTGAGCTGATATGAAATTCTGATTCCAGGGCCTATGCTTAATTACCAGGTATTCTTTGTGTGTGTGCACATATTCTATACGTGTAATCTAAATCAAATTTCACAGAACTTATGCTGTGTGATAACCTTGATATATTCTATTTTCTTCTTTTGTAACAATTGCTGGGTATAATCTCTTAAAGTTGGGTTTATGATCTTTTCGTGGGTCATGACCCACAACCTGGAAAGCACCGGGATAGAGCTAGAAAAGAATACAAGGAATTTCTGTGGCTACCATCATCATGGGGCACTGGGTTTCTTGTTGTAGTTACAGTTTCACTTTTTTAAAACTTACTTCTACCTACTTATGTATGTCCAGGGAAGATCCCCCTTCTGCAATCTTGCTGGATAAATCTGCTTTGCCTTTGGTCTCTTTTCAGGCTTAGCAAAGGGGAGTAGAAAAGGCTATAGCAGTAGATGACCTGGGCAAGTGGTAGTCCTTGTAGTCCATCTGTTCTCTCACTAATCCCTCCTTTCTAAAAATTGCAGTATTTAACTAAGCCTCCCATGGCTATTTGTGTGTCAGCCTCCCTGCATGTGGTAGACAGACTTGTCTTTGCATGTTTGCATCTGCAGCATCTAGCTGGATGCCTGGGACAGAGTATGACTCATCACGTGCCTGCAGGTGGGGGGCACCAGCTGCACTGGCCTGCCAGCTCTTTAATACGGGCTCCATCTCTGCCAGACTGGCAGCCAGATGGTTGAAGGCCGGCAGCCTGTAAGAGTAGTACTAATTTACGTCTCTCCTATTGTCACTGGATGAGGCCCATTTGCTTTACAAGAAAATGGTTTCTCACAGGTTTTTGAAATTCTAGTCCCTCTCCACCAGTGTTCCCCCAAACACAAACTTGAAAATTAAATTCAAGAAGTATAAATGTTCTGAGGTGATATCATGAAAAATCTATAAAACTTCGGTGCATGAAACCTTATGAAGGATTTTAATGTAGATTGCAGTTAATAAATAACAGAGCCTCTGAAGATGGTGATTATTAGCAGCAGAAGAAAATTAACACATTATGTCATAATAATATTTGTACCCAAAGAATATGTCTTAGCCAGGTAGAGGATGGGAGAATTTTGAGGGGGGGAAATATGTGTATGTATCTGTATGTGTTTATATATATACTTATGTATAAATGTAAATGGGTATAACTATATATGCACATAGATAGCCTTTATTTCTAATTAAAGCTGAGAACTATCATTTTAATGCCCTATGTTAGCAAAAATCAATTTTTGCTTCTTCAGTTCAGAATGAGCATGAAAGGATGTTTGATAGTTTAGTGCATTTCTGAGACATACTGAATCAATGTACAAAAACAAATGAAATTGTGTTTGAATGCTTAAATAACCTCTTTAAAAAACAAAAACAAACTTTGTTCTTGAACACTGCAGTTGAGTACATATACCTGAAAAGCAAAGGAATTCCTGGCTCACCACGAGAAAAGGTTTAGCTTGCAACTTGAGAAATTTAAGATAGTTATAGGAATACATTTTTCATAAAAAAAAGTTGTTACATCAATGCAGGCATATGAGGAATCTACCCTATTTCTTCTCACAGAAGGGAAGATTAGATATTGTGTTCCTTGGTAATTCAGTTTTGGTGTGTGTGTCCCTGCTGAGCACAAAGAGTAGACCCCATGACCTTCTGAGTCCTGCCCAGCCCTGCAAATCCAACTTTGCCTCCCCCTTGCAACATAACTTTCCAAACAGTAGCCAGGACTCCTTGGACTCTTATTTAAACTATTGCCTTTTAAAACCATCTCAACATGCTGACAGTTAAGATGATTGCAACTATATTTTCTAAGCATTAATTTAAAATCAGAACCACTTAATCAGTTTCTGTAAGTTCCTTAATATGGTTTAAACTAGCTGCTAGGTTGACTGGATGAAATTTGCCATTTCTTCAGTCCACCAAAGTCAAATATCTGCAATTTCATATGGCCAAGCTCAATGCTTTATACATACTTTCTATTTTACTTTGATTATTGTGCATTATTTTTTTTTCCAGCAATTGGGAGCAGTAGCTTCAGCCCAAGGCCAACTCACCAGTTCTCCCCACCACAGATTTATCCTTCCAAGTAAGATATATTTTCTCTTATTCAGTATATAACTTTTCTGAGTAGTCTTCTACTATCTTTCAAATCATGTCTTATGTAAATCTTAATTTACATCAAAATGCATTTTGTAGAGATTTAAATGTATTTACACAAATTAATATTGATCATCACTTAGTAGAGGCACTGAAGTAGTTAAATACTTTGTATATTATATTTGAAGGTTATACTTTAAGAGACAGTCTTTAACTGGAATTTGTGATATAGTTGTAAATCAGTTACCTTGCATGTTTCCATCTAATGCATGGGCTTTCTATTTTCTGTCATTTCTGACAAATAGCAGACCATACCCACATATTCTCCCTACCCCTTCCTCACAAACTATGGCTGCATATGGGCAAACACAGTTTACCACAGGAATGCAGCAAGCTACAGCGTATGCCACATACCCACAGCCGGGCCAGCCATACGGAATTTCATCATATGGTGAGTACTCCTGCTGTTTTTATAGTGGCATTATCTGAGGGGCATCCCTATATGTATGAAAGCTTCAGAGCAGTGCTACTTAAAGACTATCTTGGGCCACTTCAGAAAGGGTTATCACCTTCTGTGTCTGAATTCTTAGTATGATTGTTTTTAATGAGCACCGTAGGAACTTGTTGCTACTTATCTTGAGGTCAGAGGTGGCAAATAGACTGCATGGTCATAGATCCTCTTTCTTATTTTTTCCCATTTATATCTCAACTTCTAATTTGCCATGTGAGTACTTGGCTTTGAAATTCAAAGTATTTTGTGCATATTTGTGATAAAACTTCTGTGACTAAAGTCTTTTGGGGTAAAGATTCATTTCCCATTTATCAGATGCCTAGCTATGATTAGGGAAGTACAAGCGGAATTCAATAAACCCCTGCTCTAAACTTGAGAGTGGCAGTGTTATCAAATTTCAGCATTATCAACCATTAGGAAAAGTGATCTATATATCATGGCTGGAGCTGCACTTGAAAGAGGCAAATCAGGAAACATTTAAGCTCACATCCCTATTTGTTCCCTCCCACCTGGAGATTATCTTCATCTTGGTGTAATTTAACTCAAGTGTTGTAGGGTCAGTACCCATAAATTAAAAATAAGTTCTGCAAAGCCCCAAAGTTTAATTTTTAAAAATCATAGAATTTCAAAATACCTTTTCTTCAATGAATTGCAAATGTAATTTTAAATAAGTTGTACTTTTTTTGAATAGAAGAATGTGAATTATTAGCATTTTCTTAAGAAAAAATAAAATGTAATGATCAGGAAAAAGTACATGGAAGTTTGGAGGAAAAGACTGGTTAGAGTAAGTAGTCCTGTGCTTATAGCACAGAGTTATATTTTTGTGATCAATATTCTAATGCTTCTGCTATTCTGTAATGTTCTTTTCTGCAGTATAGTGGAAGAAATAATGTCTTGAAGCATGTCATTAATAATTACTTTATTCCTTTTCATTCTGTCTTTACCCCAAACCCAATTGGCCATCTATACATTTCTTATAAAATAAATAGAAGTTCCCAGACAAGCAAAATATATAGAAGTTAAATCTAAATTATATGTGACTTCATCCTTTATAGTTCTATTTCAAAACTGTCAATAACTGAATGTTACCTACCTAGGTATTTTTAAACCAGACTTTAGAAACAGCCATAAAATGGACTTCCTAGAATTATCTTTCATTTCCTTAACTTTTGTTCAAGGTTTCTCTAAATATTAGATACAGATCAAATATATCTGTAATTTTTAAAAACTTGTTTTTGTGCTGACAAGGAAAAAGAACCTATGATTTAAATTGCTCAGCTTCAGTTCTGTAATGTGAGTTAAGGCAGCCCCCAATTTTATAGTCTTGAAATTTATTTGTAAACTGATTATTTGAAGTGTAAATGTAATTCCCAGCACTAGCAATAGTAAAGTACCGTCGGCCTACGAATGCTGCCATGGGAAGGTGCCATTCCTGTCTCTGCCTTGGCTGCCACTCACACAAGTCCTCTCTTGTTCTTTTTCCTCCCCATTCACTCATATAGGGCCATTTGCCAATTTCTGACTGTGGCCGGGGGACTCTTGCAGTTTTCAGCTCTCTGTTGTCTGATTGTTGCAGGAGTGAGATGAGCAGAGATTCTGGGATTAGAATCGGAACTAGCAGAGTGAGGATGGGGATTTCAGTGTGCTGGAAGAGGGCTGAGAGTAAGGCTCAGAGTAAAGGGTTTGGTCCCAGGTCCTCCCATGCCTTATCAATCTCTCGGGAATCATTCTCAGTCCTTACCATCTTCCTGATGACCTTCTTTCTTCTCTTTCTGGGCCTTGAGTACAAAGAGATGGCTGTAGTGCTGCTGACCAGGCATTCTGTCCTTCTTGGTCCAGTGCATTAAAAAATATGGCAGCCTTCTCCGCATTGCTTGCTCGTGAAGGAAGAACACATAGTTTAGGGTTTTTAACTGCTGTTAGCCATGGTCCAGATGGTCTTAGAAGACTTCCTGCAAGAGCTTGTACCCCTTGACTTTTTTCCTCACACTCTGTAAGGAAAGATAGGCAAGTCTTTTCATAGTAAGAACTGTGCATCAGGGGAAAGAAGAGCTCATACTCCTCCTCACTGAATCTCTGTAGAGTCAACCATGTGATGGGTTTGCCAGCTTGTGGGCAGTCATCATGGAACTAGAGGTAACAGAGGCCGTTTTTCTATCTCTTTCTGCTTTCCCCTACATGTTCTTATCACAAAGATTACCACCCTGAACCTTCAGACTAAAAACAAAGGTGGTACAGGTGCAGGTTGGAAGCAGATCATTGCAGCCTCAAATGGAGAGAGGAAGGGAGCTTCTGGAGCCACTGAGCCACCTGTCGGGCAGGTGTGTTGCCAGGGGCCACTTATGAGTATGGGTTATTAACTGGGTTGAGATTGCTTATACAGGGAGAATTATATTTTTTTAAATGTTAAGGTTACATTAAGACTTAAATGTTAAGGTCATTTTGAGGTTATTTAGAGATACTCCAGGAATTAGAGTAGGCCCTCTCGGCCGAGAGTCAGATTCTTCCACTGCCGTAGGAAAGTTACCTAACTTCATTCTACTGATGAAATTCCCCTAAAATGGAAATAAACAGTGAGACTACTGTGTATTCTAGATGACAAAGATATTATTTATCTTAAATGCAAAGTAAAATTATTCAAAAATGTGAATTCCCTTGGCAGAAAGTTTTCCTCCTTTCCCTCTGTGGGAATTAAGGACAGTTGTTAACTCTCATGACTGTCTTTAATTATGATCCAGGGCTGAGCCCTGTACAACACTGCCAAACCCAAGTTCCGAAATCAGCATGTCAGCCTTTGGCTTTGGGAAGTATTTGGGGGCCACAAATATATTGTTTTATTATGATATGATGAAAATAAAGAGTACTTTAGGCTATACTTGAAGCAATTTTATCTAAATAAATACTTGAAACAAGGGAAACACTGTTAACTTGTTTATAAAACACTCTGCTGTTCTGCAGGATTCAGTTCTTTAATATTCTACTTCTCTTGTGCTCACTTTCTGGTAGGATATGGGTATTTGGGAGAAGGTTTTCTCCTGTGTTGCTTAGTTTAATGCCCAATATTGCTTCCTCTGACTTCAAAATGAGTTGTCTACTAAAATCATCTTTGTGGTAAAAGAGTAAGGGGGAAAAAATGTGAGTCTAGAAACTCTAATTAATTACTTTAAAAAACAAAGACTGATTTTGATACTAATCCACATAACAACTTTTGGAATAAAGTTTAACTATGGCTGTTTCTTGACTATAGAGGAGATGAACTTAAGCTCTTGTAAAACAGTAAAACTAAATATGAAAATATCACTGGAGTTACAAAATATAATTCAGGGAAACAACAAGAAAGAACAACATGAGTAGGCTTGCAAATCTGTAGCTCTCCCTTTTTTTTTTTAATTGAAGTTAGAGTTCAGGGTATTTCCCTCTAAGCATGTATACCCTTGACTATTGAGGAATATTGATTCTCTTGGGAAGCATTTGTGACTGAATAGTTGTGGGAGTGTTTTGGTGTATTTACCAGCTTTTGAAAATGAACAGACAGATAAGCTATCACTAACTGATTTAGGTGCATTGTGGGCAGGCATCAAGACCGAAGGTGGATTGTCACAGTCTCAGTCAGCTGGACAGACAGGATTTCTCAGCTATGGCACAAGCTTTGGTACCCCTCAACCTGGACAGGCACCATACAGCTACCAGATGCAAGGTCTGTATACACACTGGCATAGCTATTTGCATTAACCCTGTAGGTCAGCAGTTGCTTTCTAACACAGTATCCCATGTTCTGCATTAGTAGATGATGGTGGAAAGTGGGCTGAGCTCAGAGGCAAGATGCTGGTTCTAGTTTGGCTCTTCACTTGCCCAAACTCCAAGCCTAAGTTTCCATATTTATAATGTTGAGTTTCCACATTTGTAATATTGAGAGACAGAATGATCTCTGAGTTTCATCTCAAAAAGCTCTAAAATTCTTTGTAAAAATTGAAGTTTTCTGCCTTTCCTTCTATCAATTAAGAAAAGGAATGAAAAATCCCCGAAGTCACTGATGTAAGTGGTTGTAGTTTGATATATGCTAAAACCTCTGGCACTTGGTGCTACCAAACAACCTTCTCAAAGGGCTGTTCCTTATTTTCATCATTAGAGCTCTAGAAATAGAGTATGGGATATGTGTTAATTAAATGATCGACCAAAGAGCAGGGGATCAACCTGACAGCCACTTAATGCACCTTCAAGATACTGCTTCCAAGGACCAGTCCCTGGATTCTGATGTTGAAACTATAGACAAAACATAATGTAAGTGACAGTCAGATGGAAGGACAGCTGAAAGTTTACACTGTCAAAGCTGTTTTCAAGAATACATAGGAATTACTATAAATAGCACATATGCAAAATAATTAAATAGTTCTCACATAATTTAAGCATCCTCCTAATATATTGTTGTTGCTAGTACACATCTGTTTAACAAATCATATTTGGCCTCTTAATAGTGCCAAACTATAATTGAATTAATTCCCTGATCACTACTTTTTGATTGAAGGGGTTCTTTTTATAGTTTTTGTCTTTTATATTTTATTACATTAAAAATAGTTGTTGCAGATAAATTAGAAATACAAAAAAACAAAAATAATTATAATCAAATATCCCATACATTTATTATCACTTTGATATATATTCTTCTAGATGATGCAGTATGGGGCCATATTGTATAACATAATATTGCAACCTGTATTTACAGTAATAAATATATTTTGAAAATCTTTTAATCTCAATAAATTCTATTCTACAACATAATTTTAGTGGCTGCATGGTATCGTAGGTGTATCTTATTTAACCAGTTTCCCATTGGACATCTGGAACAGTGCTATGAACATTTTATGTGCATCTTTAGTTATCTCCTTTGGATACATTTAAGTGTGGAATTATTAGGTAAACTGTTTTAATCTCCTTTAAGTATTTGTTACATATTTACACAAGGGCTGTGTGTTAGTGTGCACACATTGGATAGTAAAAAAATTGTCATTTCGGTAGGTATAAGACTACTATGTTTTCATACACATTTTTTTTTAATTGAGAAGATAAAGCATTTTTTTTTCTTTTCTTCCTTGGCAGTGTTCATCTTCATCTTATTCTTATATTAAACTTATATTAAAGGTTCTTAAACTTTCTTTTATTGAAATATGCTTTATATACAATATATCGGTTTCAAGTATATAATGTAATGATGATTCAACAGTAATTTACATTATTAAATGCTCACCCTAACTTTTGTGATATTTTGTAGATATACTTTCAGTTTGTTATTTTTAAGGGGAAGAAACTAAAATTATATGGGAGAAACTAAAATTATATGGGACCAGATCCATTAATTTTTTTTGTATTTTGTTCAGCGTTTGGTATAAAAGTCCTGAGTTATAAAATTGTGATACATTTGGCATCTATGAATGAAAACAACCTTACAACAGACAGCATGTATTGTCAGAAGGATGCTACTTATATGCTTGATTCCAAAACTTTAATGCTGTCCTGGAAGAGAACTATGTTTCCACACATGTTGAATATCGGTTGAATAAAGGGATAAAAAGAACAGAAAGTGATGATGAGACTTCATTAATGAATGTCATAGTCCTAGGCTTTAGTAGTGAAATGAATCATAAGGCAAACAAGGTCTGATTTTAGAGCTTTCATTTGTGAAGGGGAGAGACAGTAGGCAGCAAGCAACTAATTGGACAATTACAGAGTCTTCCAAGAACTGTAAGGGAAATAAGCAGGCACCATGCTAGGTACCAGGCTCTGCCAGGCACCCAGGTCTCCTGGAGGAGAAGCAGGTCTTTAAAGGTCAGAAGGAAACAGGTGAAGTGCACTCCTGAGTGGAGAGCTACCTAAATGTGTGCTTTCTGGGCCTATACCCATCTGCAGCCTCTCAGCTACCAGTCTGCAATGAGCTAAGTCCAGAAAGCATTTAGAATGCTTTAAGTGTTAAGCATTTAGAAACTTTCAGCGTAGGTTGATAGTAAGCGTTATGTTGGTTAAATTAAATAATAATTTTAAGAAATGGGACTTGTGCTCTTTCTAGGTCTTTTTCTTTTTTGTTGAATTCTTTTAGTAGTATATTACTGTTTTTGTATTTTGCTAAATTGTCACTCTGGGAAGGATTAGGGTAAAAAAACTGGTTCTGCACATTAAAGAGTTTGAGAAATACTGTACTTGAGAGTTATTTTCATCTTACTCTCCTCTCAGATCAAAAGCTTATTCAGCAGAAACAGCTCCTAAGAGGACTAACCAGCTATCAGTATAAATACAGTGTTAGAATAGAAGAGTGGAAATGGAGGAGAAAAGAAAGCTAATGGGGAAGAAAAGAATTCTTTAAAGAAGAAATAAGGGCCAAATATAGAATGGCTTTTTTACCCATAGGCTTCATTGCACCTGGGCTCATTGGCTAGTGCATTAAAATCTTTTGTGTTTTTGTGTGGCCTCTGGTTGAATGCTAGTTCCAGGGGTATCTTAAAACCCATTTTCCATGACTGAGATGTTATTGCCTGTGGATATATCTATAATGGCGCTTGACTGAATTTTAGATTATTAGATGTAGTATGACTTTTACATATAAAGCTAGATAATATGCTATCAACTTGAAACTTAACTTTCCAGGGTGGTGATGGATAGTGATATATAATATGCTATGGAATCCCTGTGGCCAGATATGAATAAATAAATTCTGATTAATATGTATTTAAATATTAAATTCACCAAGTTAAAATGCTTCACCGTTATTAAATGATTTTGTGTTATGTCTTATGGGACTCTATTGACCTTTGAGTACTTTTTTTAATATGTCTTTTTCAATATAAAAATTTCTGCAATGTCTAAAATTACTTTCCAAAATTCTCCAAATTCTCTTACCTGTAATGAATAAGTAATTTTTGCTTATATCAATATCATCTATTAAAAATTTTTAGAATCCAGATGAGAGTATATGTACTTTAATGATTTGGAAGTATTTTACCTACCTTTTCTTTTCACCCTTAAAAATATAAGGAATGAAGATTATTTATTCAGAGAGTTTAGCTACTAGAATTTCATAATAGGATTTCAAAATACTAGAAGAAATAGTCTGGTAACCCTGATGATTCAAACAAACTGAAATATGTATTTTACTGTGTGATACTGATGAATTTAAATAAAATTTATGGTGACCTCTTTGGTTCTATCAGACTTAGAAGGACAGGACTAAATGTGCAGTGAAATCTTGCACTCTGGTTAATAGTGTGAGTTCTGGAGTCAGACTGTCGAGCCCTTGCTCTGTGGGTGCTCCTCATAGGGCTTGACTCCTTCACATCTCCATTTCCTGATCTCTAACATAGGGATAATATCATCTACTACCACAGTAGTGTTGGGAGATTGAATTGAGATTTTCCATGTAAACCAGTGTGACCAGCATCTGGCACATAGTAAGAACTGAAATGGTCGCTTCATCTTTCTGCTCTCCTTGTGGTTACTCTTAATAATTATTATTGTCCAGCTTTCTGAAATAGTTCCAAATTAGGAACCATTACCTAAGTGCTCTCTCCCTCGCATTCCCTCGGAGAAGATCAATGACATATATGTAAAAAATATAATACATACACAGTATTATATATATTACCAGCAAAGAGTACTCCAAGGACCCAGTAACCAAATAAGCACAACAAATAAAGAGCCAGATCTAACTAATGTCCCGGCAAAAAAGAAACCTCACCATCAACAAACATCAGGCTGTTTGCACATGATATAAACTTAAGGGAGAAACGAGAAAACAGCCAAGAATGCGAAGAAGAAAAATCGGGACAGAGAGAAAGCTGAGTCAGCAACAGTGGTGCTGGGTGTTGGAAAGAGGGAAGAGTTGGATGCACAGAAGGGCCCTCGACAAAGAGAGAGATTGAGTTGTACAGTGGTGGGAAATGAAGCGGTGTCATCCAAGTCCCTGTGCCTCAATAATCCTTGCAGTCCCATCTCTACTTTGAGAAGAACTGGTGGAAAAAGAGAAAGAGTAGCCATTTAAATACCAAATTGTTTAGTTCAGAACCAAAATTAGGGAAGAAAGTAAGGATGTGACAAGCTTTGCTGTAATAGACATGGACAACTCTAGTACCCGTACAACAAAGTAAAATAACCTACAGTTATTCAGTTCTTATTACATGCCAAGGACAATTCTCATTATTTTATGTATATTGTCATTTAATCCTTGCAATAAGCATGAACAGTAACCTTAAAGGATAAGAACCTAATAATGCTGAAGAATGTATCACAATGGAGAATGGTTTAGAACTGCCAGACCCTGCCATGTTGTAATACACTTAAATTATAATAACTATAGGGGAGGCTCTTATAGGAAACTAAGAAAAGAAAAAAAAACAAGACAGTTGTCTATAGTGTACACAGGCATACCTCAAAGATATTGCCAGTTTATTTCCAGACTGCCCCCGTAAAGTGAATCAAATTTTTTGGTTTCCTAGTGCATATAAAAGTTATATTTCCACTATACTGTAGTTTGTTAATTGTACAATAACACTGTCTAGAAAACAATGTACATACTTTAATAAAAAATACTTTATGACTATAAACTGCTGACCATCATCTGAGCTCTCAGCAAGCTGTAATGGTTTTGCCGGTGGAGGGCCTCGCCTCGATGTGGACGGCTGCGGACTGAGCAGGGTGGTGGTTGCTGAAGGC